ATAGATGTATTCATTTTAAGTGAGCTGACACCGAGGTTAGAGGAAGTTCAGAGAAGGCCTCAGGTTATAAAAAACAGTTCACCTTTTTGTTTGTTAACTAGTAAAGATGTCAACGATGACGTTTAAACATATACAAGTATAGCTTTCAGAGAGATAAACATGTGGCATTTGTGTGGTAGGCTGCATGATAAAATGTGTGTGCGTTAAACATGCTTAGGGAAAATGTGTGTGTGTTCATTGCAGTGGCTATGCTGTATGATTGTTGGTGCGGGGCATTTCTGCGATTGGCTGCTGTGGCAGCAGGTGATGTACTCCCCATATTGTTTGTCTGTTGCAACAACTAAATAATAATTACTGATCAGCTATATCTGTGTTTGTGTTTTATTGATTCCTCTCTGTTTCATTCTTTCCTGTTGTGTTATGCTGGACCGCGACAACAAACTAATGGTAAAATTGTCTTTTTATCATTCATCAAAGATAGCAGAAAAACCTGAATTATGTAGGCTACTATGGAGGACAGAGGATTACTCAAAAAGTACACAGTAAAAGTAGCCTACTTAATTTTATTTCTAGTAGCAGTCAAATTAGCAGATGTGGGACCAAGTCATTGTTTTGCAAGTCCGAGTCAAGTCTCAAGTCTTTGCGCTCAAGTCCAAGTCAAGTCTCAAGTCAGGATGGGCAAGTTCAAGTCAAGTCCAAGTCCTAAACTTTGACAAAACGAGTCTTAAACAAGTCCTTATGTGCATTTCACCAAATGTAATGACATCGATCAACAGAATAATACTTACTAATCAAACTGCTCTTTATTAGTCACATTAATAATTTAATAATCCATTTTCTCTCTGCTGGTAAAGTAATGTGTGTTTTTCTCATTTAAGAGGGATCAGTAAGGTAAGGCTACCATGACAGTTTGATTCAGAAGGAGTTTAATGTATAAGATCCCTGATGTTGAGGTGACCAGAATGTTTATTTCCACTGTGTACAACATGTTGTAAGGGACCCACAATCTATCTTTATGCAAGGGATAATGTGCAGCGAGGCGGTCTCTACGGGGAAAAGAACACCTGAATCTATAGATCCCTCTGCAGGTGGTACTTTAAGTATATTTTGATGATAATACTTTTCTACTTTTACTTGTAACATTTTGAATGCAGGACTTTTTATTGTAACCGAGTATTCCGACACTCTGGTACTTTTACTCAAGTAGGCCTACAAGACCTGAACTTCTCCCAAAAATATTTGTATCACTCATTGAATATAGGCCTAGCAGGGGAACAAATGAAGAGCAGCTGATTTGAAAAAACCAACTCGAGAGACGGCTGACCCTGGTGCCAGAAAGCCACACATGGGATACACTGTGAACCTCTATAGCCTGTCAGCGCAATTTACATGATGCCTTAAAACATATAATAAAAAAGGGCGGTGCCGGCCATCAGCAAACCGAGCCGGCACGGTAGTTTTTTCATATTCTGTTTTCTATTGATTTAGTTTTTCTCAAAACAAAAAATAAAATCACTAGAAAACAGAAACAAACAAAAATCCCGTTTTTTCATATTCTGCTACCGGAAGTTGTTTTACAAAATAAGAGCGCAGATCAGTCGTGTGTCTCTATCGTCTCTATCCATCCATGTGCTCGGAAGTAGAAGGTCAAAAAGTGCGGTGCTAGTTAATAGACATGGATCAATACGTAGTCTTTCGCAACAGTCAAAGAGTGTGTCTCAGAGAAGAAGATATGACTGCAGAAAAACTAAGCCGCATTTTTCAGGTAAAAATACAAATAATACTATATAGACGACATAATCATAATGACTACAATCAGGGAATTAGCTAGCTACTAGCTAACATTACAGCTCTGTGCCTTTGTGAAGCCTGTTAGCCTAGTTGTTGGGGATTTTGCATCCTTGAAGTTCGCCTGAACCTGAATTATTATTATTATTATTATAATGTGAATAATTATAATAATAATCACTTAATTTAGAGGTTCACCATTTGGTGAGGTTTCCTCAGTAGTCACAATCATATATAAAGGTTTGGAAGTAACGACTAGGAGTTAATTGACTTATGATTGTTTTTGACAGGTCTCATCTCAAAGTCTCTATGTGAGTGATGACGCGAACGTGGCCTTGTTTCCTGGTGCATCAGGTGTTTTCAACTCCTATGATCTCACTCCCAGAGGTCACTATGAGGTGCATGGTGAGGACGATGTCCCGCCATCAGCTTCAAGTAACATGGGCCAACGATTTTCTTTCATGCGAACACCTGCAACTGCTTCTGCTAGTTCATCTGCACAGCGGGCTTCAGCCCCCCCAAGGGCCACTGTCTCCAAAACATTTCAAAGGTAACCTTAAAGTCGCTTACTAAGTTACTGTGAAACGTTATTTTAAAATGTACTAATTACGAGATGGGAAATGAATTATAATTTAATTTAGTTGAAAAATCGATAGATAAGATTTGAAATGAGGAAATTATCATTTCAAATCCAGTTTCCATTCTTTATATAATTCGTAGTTATTGTGTAATAATAGTTAATACCACTTTATGCACATTTTAACATTATTCCCTAAAAAATGCTCTACATTGTCTTTTGTTGATATACAAATGACACATATATATTAACCATTGCTATGATTATTAATGCCTTCAGTGTCATAGCATTTATGTGGGTATGATATTTTTACAGATCAGTGTACAGTACCTTGCTGAGCTGGTTGGTGGGAGACTGAGTCCCAGCAGAATGGTGGTTATCCGGTTTTTGGAATGCAAGGCTTCCATTCAGGGGATCATTGGAAAGGTGCAAGATGCCATTGGAAGTCATGACCCCATTATATTAACCGATGCCCAGGGAAATGAAATGTTGGAGTCAGAGGGAACAACAGGTGGACAATATTAATGAATTATGTGTATATATTACATGCCACAATACTACTCGTGACTGAACTAGCCACTTAAGTTATATTGTTTTTTTCTACTCCTAAGGGTCACAATACTGGAAACAAAATGCAAGAAGAATTCTTGCTGTAGCAGAACGGGACTTTCAGGACTTGCAAGGCACAAAGCGGAGAAGAGTGAGGTATCTTATGTATTCATATTACTCGTAGGCCTATACATAATTCAATCATTGAAGTACATTGTGTTTTTCTTGCTTTTATCCTTAAGCTTTCTTATTCCGACTATTAAAAACAACAGTTTTTTATTTCAAATCAGCACATATCTTCTGGCCATTACTGCTTATTTATTAACACTTTTGCATGCTGCTAGTGAACGGGTTCCCCCACCAAAAAAAGTGCCTGTCAATAAAAAAACTAAAAACTTTTCCCCACAATCAAGATTAGCAATTTACCTTGATACACCCTATTGCAATTTTGCTGTCTTGTTTTGAACTATGTATAACATGTAATAAAAACCCCATAGTAAAACAGCCCTGACTTGGCCAAGCTACATTCATAAATAAAACACTTGCATTTTATAATATTTCAAACAAACGGTAAGACCACGATTAGCATAAACGATTTAACAGTACCATTAACTATGTGTTATGTTGTTTCTGTTTAACAGCAGAAACGATGAACATGCTGCAGGCATTGGAGAAGTGACAGAAAAAATGTAAGAGCTGGTACTGGCATCACAGAGCTTATCAGATGTCACTGCATCAATCAGAGAGCTCACCAATCTGACTGCCACTCAAAGAGTCACCCTGAGTCCTTCCCAGCTACAGATCATCAAGCAAGGGTTTTGCTGAGTTGTTTGTTTGAGTAAGTATGCAATGAATACTTGAATAATTTTCACACACATAAGGTAACTTTAAATCCATTTAATATTGTGTCTACCATTGTACAAATACGCATTTTTACATTCACATAACAAGGTCATTTGTGTCTTATACACTACAGGTAATTGCATGTACTGACGTAGACCTTTGTGTAACAGGCCATAGTATGCTATAATAACAAAGACATTTTCCACAGCATTAAAGTTGTGTTATAAGTAAACACTATCACCCAATACACCAAAAATATTTAACAGGGATAACAGGGATTTTAACAGCATACAGAGAATGACTAGGTTTTCTCAATTTTCTTTTTAGGGTTCATCGAAGAGCCAGTCTTCACACAATGTTTCAAGAGCATCATTGGCTGCAAAAGATGTGTGGAGCAGTGGCAGGAGACCTCTGACTACTGTGCAAAATGTAGGGGGAACTCCGATAACAGCACCATAGTTGAGGTTAATGGTCTGTCAGAAGTATTTTCTGTTCTGAAATCCCTTTTTGATGAGTAACATGTTTCCCTTTTATACACACAGACAGGCATGGTGTTTTTGAGTTGACTTTAGTTACTGATATTTGGGTCACAGTTCTTGTTTATTATTTCTTAAGCATAAAGAGTAAAAATGTGACCACTGTTTTTATTGACATAATTATTTGATCGACATTAACATTTGTCTTTACCAGTCACCCACTGTCACCAAGTTTGTGTTGCCATTACTAATTTACATTCTTCAAAGGAATTGTTCAACATTTCAATGTTTTAGCTTGTTGCATCACTCTTCAGGTGACAGAAACCATTCGTTTAACTGTTGTTGCATCTAGAAAAAGAGACAGAAAAAGATAGCTCATCACTTGTTAGCTTTGCACAAATACTGGTAGTCAAAAGGAAGTGTTATTCTGCCTTGCTGATAGTCAAAAGATTAACTTTACAACAACACTAAACGATCCTGTGTGCTTGTTGTGACTTTTTTTATTTAGCACGGTCTCAGGACCTTTATGTGTTTAGTAAAGTTATATTCTGATGCTAGCACTTCTTATTGACTACCAGTATTTGTGCAAAGCTAACAAGTGATGAGCTATCTTTTTCTGTCTCTTTTTCTAGATACAACAACAGTTAAACGACTGGTTTCTGTCACCTGAAGAGTGATGCAACAAGCTAAAACATTGAAATGTTGAACAATTCCTTTGAAGAATGTAAATTAGTAACGGCAACACAAACTTGGTGACAGTGGGTGACTGGTAAAGACACATTTTAATGTCGATCAAATAATTATGTCAATAACAAGTATTTTACCCTTTCAGTTCTAATGGAGCAAATGTGTTTTCACACATTGCGCTGAGTTGTAGTTATGAGATGGAGCAATGCCTCTTTGTATGGAGCAAAGTCGTTATTCACTGCTCTAAAGAACAAGTCTGATATGTCAGAATATTTCTCTGCAAACTGATTCTCAACTGTAAGTTTGTCCTGTTCGGTTGAGAATGGATCAACTCCAAAAGTAGAATGTATGGTCAGTTGGGATCCCAGATGTTGTTTGTAAAGGTCGGCTGCTTCAAGTGAATGAGGCAACAGCTCCTGGGGGATTTTTTTGGGGCAACCACTGCCAGCCAAGTCGTTTGGTATGCCTTTACCTGTGAAATAAAGAACATACGGTTGATCTCACTTATAACTGCTTGTTGTCATTATTTGAATCTTCGCTACAGTGGTTTATATAACCTGGTATTCGGTGAGCATTCCACGACTCCACCACCATTGTAAGACCAATGTGGCACAACTGGCCTGTCAGGTTGGACACGCAGTATCTGACAAGGTTTTCATCCATGTCTAGTTCCTCTTGATCCACCAACTGCAGCAGGGCTGTCTTTAGGGGATAGTTGACACGATTATTGACCTCAGGCCAGATTCGTTCAACTACATGATTCTGAAATAAGAAACACAGATTTGACAACAGTTAATTAATCTGAAGGTTTAATGATAAATACTGTATGTTTTGGTCGATTTGGGAGACATGGTCATGCAGAACTGAAACAAAATATGCAACTATACAAACTCAGCAGTCATTATGCACATGTTCCAGACATTCTGCATACTGACTACCTATCCAGGTATTATGCATAATCACTGCAGAGCTACTCTTCACGTTTTACCAGGGATTGACCTTAAGGAACATTTCCAAATTGAATGTAAAATATATCTCATCACATAACTGGAATATAAGCTTTGATAAAACAGTGTGGTTGCCTCTGCAGTTTAATGTTAAGCTATAACAAGATTGAAATAAAACCTGTTTTGGCCAAAGTTAATGTCCAGTGGCATGTTGACTCTGAAAGCTAGAAAGCATAGTTATTGTAAAGAAAATGTGAATTATGTACGCAAGAAGACAGGCTGCTGAAGAAACACAGATAAAAGGGATAATAAAAGTGTGCATACAACTAGCGTGTTGCTAAATGAATCATTCAAATTATTGCACTGTACTCTTGTGGATGACGTCTGTAAGTAAGGCCTTCTCTCCTGATTATGGCGATAGGATGACAGCAGCTCCTGCATGAAGAGTGTCAAATAAAATTCCTTGCCATGATCTACTCGCACCTGATCCCACATTCCATTGGCAAGTACTGCAGGCCTATTGGATGAAAATAAAAATTGTTTTAATTTGTGCAAAACATTTGAAATGCAACTTCCCTGAATAAGTTGTTCTCAACAATGTATATGTTTAGCAGTTATTATATGGCCACATTGCAATATGAATGTGGTGGCCTTGTGTAAAATATGTACTATTATTTTAGGGGCTTAAGAGTAGGGGATTAATATATATATTACATATTTTATTTGCCATTTTTCTTTTTTCTCCATTGTCTAAAAGGCATTATTGTAATTGGCATGTGGTCAATGAATAGTGAATATCTGCAAATGGCCATAACACAGTGGGGGGGGGGGCCTAGGGCTGGGCAACAAGATAAAATATCACATTGTTCACATCACATCAACAACGTCTTGCAGAAATAACAGATTTGCACTGTCTCCAGTTTTAATAAATCCCTTTAGTGTCTGCAAATATATGGGCTTTTACCTGAAAACATCTTCGTAGATGACTAGGTTGTTTTTTATAGGCATTGAAGAATGAGCAACAATCTTTTTGCTGAAGCCATCAATGGCCACAACATGGGTGACCCCAAACATAGCCAGCTTTTCATTTTGGTCCATATGAACCTTTTGACCCATGTAGTCTGCTCGATATGGTGTGGAGTTGAGATTGCGAGCACCCTAAACGATAGGAAAAATTATTAACACAAATACAAAATACCATTACTCCATCTCAGCAATGGTTGCAGGTTTTGCGAATGTAATTACATGTTTTTGTAATTGTTAATATATATTGTCTATGTCAAATTAATGAGCAAAATAAAGGAAACTTTGGCCTGGTAATATCCAATCTCATAGTTTGTTGTCTTATATAAACTACACATACATTTCAAAAGTTTCATGATGCAAAATGTTAAGACTGAGACAGTAACATTGGCTACCTGACATCTTGCTTCATGGTAAGGCTGATGCGAAGTCCTGAGCACTGCTCCAATTCGTGTCTCTGCAGCATGCACTCCTTTTGTGGCGAGATACCCCTTCATCATCCTTCTTCCATATGTAGGTCCTGTCTAAAAAATATATACCAATAAGAAAAAATAACACACATGACTTTTTCATTCCAAATCATACGAGCTAATATGTTTATCATGAAAATAAACAAAACACACACACACACACACACACACACACACACAATCAAACTAGCAGTGTCATACCTCGGTAATGGCTTTAGCCACCTCCAACTCCAAATGAGCGTCTGGTAGTCCCATCAAGCTTGAACCCTTTGCAGCGCAAAATCTCCTCACATTTCTTGCAGAAATCCTCTTCCGCCTCCACTTTCGTGGGATATGCGTGCAGAAATTTCTGCAGATGGCAAACCCTGTTTTGCCATATCTAAAATGATATCAGAGTAAGGTTGCAAAGACATTTTCGCTCTTTCCAGTTTCAATCATTTCAATGCGTTCCCTTAAATATCATGTTTTGGCGAGCTGATTTCACCACGGAACCCCGAATCACGGCCTTATTTTGAAAGACAACTTCCGGTAGCAGAATATGAAAAAACGGGGGGTTTTTTTGTTTCTGTTTTCTAGTGATTTTATTTTTTGTTTTGAGAAGTAGAAAATGAAAATCATCCCGTTTTTTAAGTTTATTAAATCCATTTTTGACCATGATAAAGAAAAACGCCTTGTATTTCAATTTTGGTTTTTCAATTTGAAAACGAAAATCAAATATCCAGTCGTTTTTTGTTTTTGAATATCCATTTGTGAAAAGAAAATCCAATGACCAAAACATACACTGACCCCAAAGCCGTTTTCTGAATAAAAAAACGGATAACAAGAAGACCTAATTAAAAAAACTTCATTACATTTTCCGTTTTGTATTGAAGAATGAAGAAAAAAGGTCCGGTGGACCGGAAGTTAAAGAACATATTTCAAAATAAAAGGCACGAGGCAATGCTGTAAAAGTTCAATCCTGGAACCCATATAGATATGGCGCTGGATGCAGTGCTTGAATTGGAATGAAAAAGGTGCCAGTACTCTAAAATCAGCAACTTTTTCAAGTCAATTTTATATATACAGCCCACAAACAAGAATGTGGCTACTATAATGCTGGTGGGTTTGTCTCTTTACTACTGTATATTTTAGAAAGGTTCACTGTACTTAACATTTTTTATGATAGGCAGCGGATATGGCTAAAGCTCAGTAAGGTCAATATTAACTGAAAATATAGCAATCAAAGTCTAGATCTTCTGCTGAAGACACATGAAGCAGAGACCTTTCAGGTGAGAGCCCCTCTGGTGGTGTTCAACATTAATGACAAGGAAACAAAGCTCTGGTCAGAAGCATTTTTTATAAAAAGCTTTAACAAAATTAAGTATTTCTGTACATTTTGAATGCAATCTAACTTTCCAACTCAGAAAACGAAAAAGTGCCAAAAGTCTTCTCACATGGCTGAGCTGCTTTGCAATATACTTCACCACTGAAGAATACAAATATGTATAAAGTAAACTATGATGCAATCTAACTTTCCAACTCAGAAAAATGATAAAGAGCATGAACAAAGAACATGTAAAAACAAATGCAAAATGTGCACAATCTAAAATGAGAAACTGTAACTGCAAGTAACAAAGTCTGAGCCATGGTAAAGAGTTACATTGAACACCAAGCTGATCAGATAACTCCCTGGTTGGTCTGAAGTCCTTCTATCTCCAGGATCTGTACAAATCGGCACATTATGCCAAAAGTCTTCTCACTGGGTGAGCTGCTTTGCAATATACTTCACATTGTTAGAAAAGGCTCCAGAAGGCCTTGTGGACATCAGTATCAGGGGCTGGAGCTGGACAGGCTCTTTCATCAGCACTTCTCCTTCCCTTTGCCAGCCAGGACCTCACATACTGTTCCGGATTGAACTGTCCTAGTGATGGTCCATTACATTTAATGAAAACCAGGCTGGACAGTCGGCTGACAGAGAGAGCATTCCTTTTTGCAGTAAGGATATCGTTCATGCAGCTGAATGCCCGCTCACACTCACTAGTGGAGACAGCGATGGTTCGGACTGCTTTCAGTAGAGGCTCCATGGCAGCAGGTGTACGGGATGCCCTGGTTTCCTTGTATTCGCGAAAGCCCCTGAACAGTCTCTCTTCTGTCCACTTTCAGCACTTCGCACAAACGTAGCACCTCTACGTCCCCATACTGTACGTCTAACTCCTCTTCAGGCCAACTTCCAGGATGGATAACTTTCATGTCCTGGATTAGCTGATTGTCCCGGGCCTCCCGGCCATGTAATGGGATTTCTCTTGTGCTGACATGAGAGGAGGTTGTGGAAGTCATTCTGTGTCTCAGATTCTCTACCATACTGCGGAAAAACTGACCTGCATGAATCTGTACAAGCCTGCCATTCTCACGCAGGGCAACACCCTTGAAGGACTTCTCAGCTAGAGCTGTATGAACTGTAGTCATGTGTGGGCCAGGCATGGTGACCATGGATTCAAAAACTCGTATTTCTCGAGTTAAGAGCCTATCTGCTGTAGGCAGTGTCATCTCTCTTTTTTGGAGTTGCCGAGAGAGGTCGCTGAGCTCTGTGAGCGCATCGTACATCAGTCCCAGATTGCTGACAAACGTTGCAGATGTGAGCACATCATCCAGGCCCTTGTACTTTGCTCTGTCTCTGGAATCCCTGCTCGTGTCGTTTGCAGCATTTGTGAAGTGATCATGAAGCACTCGGTAGTTTTCCCAGACTGCTCTGACGCTCCTTTCACTTGAAGCCACCCAGCGGATGGACAAAACACGCCCTATCACCAGGAGACGCTGTCCGACTGCTTGCGCACACTGCGCTAACTGCCTCTGATTTTTGGGGGAGGCATGGAACAAGGAATAGAGTTTGTCAAAAAAGATCTGGAAATGATTGAGCCCTGAGACCTCCTTGACCACATCCCCAACTGCCAGCTCTAGACGATGATTGATGAGCAGTGCCACACAAACAGGCTTGGGAATTTACTACACAACTGGGTAGCAACGCCTGTTCTCTTCCCTAGCATGACTGAAGCCCCATCACATGCAAAAGAACGAAACACTGACCTAAAAAGTCCTCGTTAACATCTCTTCCAAGACACTCCATTAACGCCTTTGTGATGTCATCAGCCGTTGTTCCATCCAACTCGATCAGCTCCCAAAAAAACGTTTCGGGCTCAGCATCAGCTAATGCTGAGCCTAGACACACAACAAGCACCGTTTTACCACTAATAGTGGTAGATTCATCGACCAAAACACAGAGTTTTCTTTGGTTTTCTGTAATGTCTTTTGCCATTTTTTTCTTCAGCTCATGAGCTATGTGGTCGATGATTTCGCCACAGGTTTTATTGGAGTGCAAAACCCTGCCCACGTTCAGCCCATTCAGTTTCTGTACATTCAAATCAATTGGCATGTCTGTGAATGGCCGGCTATGTTTGCCAATTTTATATGCCGTTCGAAAAACTCTGATAGTGGTGTCTAATTCAGATTTATGCATAGACTGCACTTGATGTTGAATAGTTTCACGTGAAGAAGATGTAAGGATGTCAGCAGCTTTTACATGGGCTTGTGATTCTTTATGTTCTTTGATTTTTTTTCTCAGGCTAGCTTGTTGTTTGCCCTTGTCAACACCGAAATGAGACACTGCACACTCACCCCATTCAGTTGACAGTTTCAGTCCTTGTCCAGTGTGTATTCCCAAAGATTTGACATCTCTGCATATCCGACATCCTAGCTTCTTATCTTTAAGAAGGAGCCATGCATTGGTCTTGCAAAAATATTGCACCTGATCCGTTGTCCAGCAGTCAGGTGCATCGCTTTGCCCGGTGTTGGTGGTGGCAGTTGCGCCAGCAGCAGCTAACGTTAGAGGCTCTGGAGGAGGCGGCGGAGCTAGTGCTAATGCTAATGCACTAGAACTTGGAGCAGGAGGATCAACCAAAGAAAGCTTCTCTGTATTACAGGGTTCTCTGTATTTGAAGTTTCTTCCGGCGACAACCGCTGTCTTTTTGCACTTTTATTAATCCACGCTAACATTTTAGAAATGCTAATTTGTGACGTGACTTGCTTTCCTTCTCTCGGGGGCGTGCCTGCTCTGTTCTATCACTCTACATAGCCACCCACTGGGTGGGAGTTGCACTGCATAAACACAACACACGTGCATCTAGGTATGTAAATTGTAAAGCATTAAAACATGGTTTTACTAACAGTTTTCAGTATGTTGTTACTTCGGCATTATTATTATTATTATTTTGAAACGTGTATTACTATTAAATCACGGTCAAATAGGTTAATTTTGACATAGTCGTTTCCACCACAGTATTTACATGGAGAAGATAAGCCCCGCCCCCTCTCCAGCACGTTCTGTTTGAATGACAGGAGTAAACAGCTGACAGCCGCTGTGAAACTCCAGCGGTTAGAGAGATGAGAATGTCCGTTCGGCACCTCATGACGCATCTACTGAGTACCGGGCGGCTGTATATATATATATGGATGTATAATAAGAACGGCGGGAGAGTGTTGAGTACTGGTACGGTGCATGAGTACCGGAGTACCGCTAGCATGCCGGTACTGAGCAAGAAGTGCCGGTACTCCATGGGTCAGAACCAGAAGTGCCGGTACTGCGTACCGGTGAGTACCGGCCCAATTCCAGCACTGGCTGGATGCGCTGTAGGCTACTCTTCAAAATAAAGGTTCTAACTCTTTACACAGTGCAAAAATGACAAGCTTCATCTTTGATGAGCGATAACATTATTTTTGGCCATACGTTTTTCATAAGTCTGATGAAGTTGGAATCAGTTGTAGTTACAACTATCCCAAAAACTATGAAATACTTTTACTGTGTGTAGGCCTACTTCTTGATACTCTCCTGTCAAAGTCCCCTCCATGGTACAACAATGCCTGTCTTGCTGCTATATGTGACGAGCAATACAAATACTTTTAAGTTCTTAAGAAGACTGATCATTTTGGACTCAGTAGTTAGACTACTAGCGCAAAGACTATAAAATACTTTTATTTTGTACTTTCAGTCAAATTGTCCACCCTGAATACCCCATGCAGATGCTCCTGCTGTCTGTCAAGAAACATTACTTTCCAAAAATGGAAAGTTATCTTGGTCCCGCTCCCCATGTGAAACACAGGGTAAGTTTAGTGTTGCTAATGTAATGAAAATGGCTCCAGGCCCCACAAGGTATACGTTGTCAGCCATGTCGAGACCTGAAGTCAGCATTGAGCTCTTCATAACACCATCAATAGAGGATTGATAGACAATATACCTGAGATTGTGAATTTAAAGGTGAGGTGCATGCATGGGACAGTTAGGAGTTGGGTGGGAACCACTTACAAGCCCACATTGAGTGTATAAATCAAAAAGGGAGGAAACGGCATGCCTTTGGAATGCTGACACTGGAAGGGAAATATTTCCATATTGACCCCAAACAAATGTTACTATCCTTGATA